TAAGGGTTATTGAAGTCCATTTCCTACGCCACTTCAATTTCTGTTAAGAGTTCTTTTGTAATTTTCAAATATTAGTCAATATACGTCTAAGAATAAGTTTATTAAAACTTATTATTTATATATATGCAAATCATATAATATACTGTATAACTCTGTGCATTTACATTAACAAATAATAATAACAAAGAATGCATTTTTATAATTAGGGAGAAACTTATTTCAATTTTAATTGCAAAATGAATAAAATGGAAAGAAGGGTTTGCATGTTTATTAAATGTTGCATAATTGCCATTATGAATGGCGTTAAAAAATGTTTTTGTTCTAAAATTCAAGGCATCAGTGGTATACTCAAAAATAAATTGCTTGGAACTTACTCAAGAAATTAGTGTTCATTGTCTGCCTATATCACAGTAGTAGTACTTAAGTAATATATATCTTCGAATGATTTTCGATGAAGCCGCTAAAAGAATACGAATAAAGAACATTTGAAAAAGTAACGCAAATTTTATAATAGAAAAGGACGGCTAGTAATGTGAATTCTTGTCTTTGTTTGTCTGGGTATTCTCATCGCGTCGAGGGTTGATATTCTTATAACCGTTGCTGATAGACAAATATATATTCAAGAGAGTAAAGCTGTTTTTTTTCGTATGAAAACCCGATTATAATTCTACGCATTTGAATTCTATCAATAATTCTAACCAGGTCTAAATATTTATCCATTTTATTTACATAATAGCTCGATGAATTATGCATCAGATCATATAAGTAGGTAAAGTATACCATTATTTTTACACACAACACAAAAATTTATTGTTTATTTGTTAAGACCTTATTAGTAAGTATTCCACATGCACCAGATTGCCGCCGTCAAAAATAGTCAAAACCACAACCACTGTAGAGAAATTTAGATATAATATAAAACAATCTCTTAGTCTCCTTATCTGCCATTAGTGTTAACCTGTGTGTATCAAAGAAAAAAACATGGCTACCAGTCTCCCTCTAAACAAAATCTTTTTTATTAATTGGTCCCAACACGCCTCAAATTTCGAGTTATTGTTTAAAACGTCAAAAAATAAAGTCCGATTGGACTTTCCATTTATCTGAAAAATATCGTTAGGTAACGTTGAATATCAAATCTCTGCGTTGGCATCGGTGCGAGGCCTGCGAAAGACAAGCAGTCAAAACAGTCTTTTCAGAGTCAATAAAACGCGCTTCTACGTGGGCAGGCCCGTCCCGTCCCATTAACGAAATCGAAATCATCAGCGCGTGAAAAATAACTAGTCCTTGCGAGCAGGCGTTTTGGTTTTGCCCTGTAACGGAAAATGATACAGATCCGGACCGACACCGAATACACCGCGTTACTTGGGTCTCACAATAAATGCCTGACAAATTAATTTCCATAAATTATGCGCGATGCTAGATCAATTCTTTATTAATTATCCCAATCATTTTACAAGATTGAATATTTGCAAAAAAAGTGTTATTGTTTTAAAGGAACTTTGACATTTTTTCATTTTCAATTGCAGTTTTCATGGGCGGGAACATTTGTAAGTAGATGTAATCTCTATATTACTTTGGAATCTTACCTTAACGTTATATCTATCTATCCTTATATTTTATTTTTTTGCGTTGTATCATAAAGATTCCATGCGTCCATTATTTCATGGGTATGGCTATCATTTTTGAGTCTAGTGTTGCCGCTAATCTAATAAAGTATATTCTGCATTTTTAGTATGTTTGTAATTTCAAAGACAAGGTTGAGAAACGTATAGCGCTAAATAAATATTGAAATTCTTCATGGGTGCGGTACTGGACGTCGTAATAAAATGACGCCCGTTCGGATGTTCCCATCAGCTCACCAGGTGGCGGCGCTTGCAGTTGACGTCTCATCATACCTTCGCAAACAATGAAGGTTGCCGGGAATACGAGATGTTCGTTTGTTTTGTTCGAGGCACGTGCTTATTATTATTCGGAATGATTTGGCGGAACACCAGATACGAATTATCTTTATATTTTTATTATTATCCAAATGCCGGATGAATTAAAAGCAGAGACCACAAAATAAAATTTGTGTTGTTAACACTCCGTATACATCACATGTAAAATTAGTTTATTGTATCCTAATTAAGTCATTTATTCTTTGGAGAATTTAGTCTTCTTTCTTCGAACTCTCGTATAATTCAAATTGTCCAACATCCTAGCTAGGAACGTTAAATAATTTAATGGAAAAATAGATATTTCACAAAGGTGCAAGTGTCAAAAAAATAAATAAAATGAGATTTTAGGTAGGTAAATAAAACATCTTTGTCGAAATAGTTCTATTAAGTAGATCATAAAATACGATCATGTATAGTTTCATGTTTTACGTTGTTACGTAGTTGCAAATATAATACGCAACAAAAAAGCAAAATAAGAATGCAATAAAAAAATTATTCCTTGTTTATAAGTAGTTATACGACTATTATAACTTGTCTTTCATAATAATAATAATTAATGAAATAACACAAATAAATACCTACCACATACGCAATCTACAAACATAATGAGAAAAAAAAAATTGATTTGAATTATTCAAAAAATAGTCGTAAACTAGGGGAAAACAAATTCTAAAAGAATAAAATCCATGTACGCACATACACATACATATAATAAATAAAATAGGTACTTTGCTTTAAGATTGGGCAGTTTTCCGGCTTTGTATGTCAATCGTATAACTATTAGTGGCTGTAAGGACGGTAAAAATTCATGCGCCTCGGGCTGATGATATTTTCCCTCAATTTCGCATACTAACCTGCACTTTGATTCATTTTTTTTAACAGGGATTTCCACATACTTAATTCGCTTTTTCCAGAACATTTAACGGAATTTATTCAAATTTGGATCCTTATCTATAAGCAGAGCATAAATTATTCTCTTTTTATTAGTTTGTTCTATGCGTCCGCAGATGAAAACTAGTCGATAACAATTTTCCTTCCATAGAACGTCAATGTTTTTTATAGTTGCTATTTGCTAATTGGACCAAACATCAAGGGTATTTTGCGAATATTTTTGTCTATATGTCAGTCACACTGATATTCAGTTATCGCACTCATTTCAGTAACCCATATAGCACACAATATCCCCAGTATGCAGTCAATGCAATATAAGTCGCATGTCCTGGGATATGTGGAGGATATATTAAGAATATACTGTAAAATACATCCCAGCGATATCCTCTGAACGGATAGTTTGCGGATTTACTGTACACGATAACGTTTTTGTGCACATCTACATCGACGTCAGTGTTGGCAAGTCCTAAAAAAACGGAATTAAACCGTTAAAATCAACTTGTTTTTTATTATTTTTGGACACGAACGAGACAAGAAACGCTATTTTAATAAAAATATCACAGAAAATACGCATTTATCTAAGAAAAAAAAAATACAAAAACGTAAAAATAATATAATTGTTCATAAGATCCCATTTGACAACACTGTTCAGGTGAAACCAATGACGCAACTACTCGCGGTCGTGCCGTGCCGGACTCGCTCGAGTCTCGTCGTCCGCCACCTTTTCAACCTTGTTTTTGTTGGTGGTAGAAGGGATACAGCGGACTTGGCGTCTATTTTGAGTCTTTGTGTGTTGTGCTTACTGCTTTCAGTGCTTTCGTTTCAGTTATTTTTTTGTGGTAATTAGACTACGATAAACTAATAATTAAGTGAGGTCCACTGGTATATCTATATAAGATCCTATATCCTCACAGTCGGATATACTAACGACGTCTCAACTAGTATAACTGGATAACTTTTGCGTCAGATATCCTGAGGACGCTTTAAGGACGTCCTTGTGCTATTTCGGAACTACACCATATTAATAAAACACCGGAAATTTCGTGGTAAGATCGCGGTCACAGACGTTCAACTAAAACGGACATTTAGGCAATAGACGAGTGGGGGCGAGATGTGTTGCCTAAATATGAATGGTTGTTAAGGTACCTGCGGCAAATAAGACCCAGTTAATAAGAAATTGCTTCATTTGGCAAACACAGACAAAAACAAATAACGAAATAAAAATATTATCTTAATTTAGACTCTTATAAATGAAACTACAGGTACACATTCAGCCTTAAAGGTATGTGAAATATTTAACACAATAAAAAAAAAACTGTCATTGGGCTTTCTTATCCGAACATTCGGTTAATAAAGCCCACAAAAAAAATTGGGGTCGGTTATAAAGGCCCACCTAAAAGAAGGCTAAAATAGGTAATGTGCATGTAGTTATTTTTTACATAAACAGTTATAAATCCTAAAATGCCAGGTTTGCACAAAACATATTTTATATACATAAACCAACAAAATAAACGCATTTTTATAACAATAACGCAAATTGAACTCTTTGAAAGAAAAAAAAACTCAATCTAATAACAACGTACGCAGATATAGTCGGCCTTGTCGTCTTTTATGAAGCCAATTCATACTTCGTGGCACCAGGTGCCGCAAGACACAGCTTCGCATATCTAATTGTTCTGATTTGCTACACAAAAAGCAATACCAAGACTCGTTTTCTTAGACATCATTTTCCGTGCGAGTAGAGATATGTATAATAGAGGCTTCCCCCACTCCTCTCCCTTTTGTGGGCGTGTCCTCCTTCCCCACGACTCTTTAGCTCCTCCCCCTTTACCCATAATCCCTTGAAACTGGCCCCCATTGGATAAGCAAGCACCAATGGGGTTTAATCAATCTCCCCACCTCTAGTTTGCGATGGCGGCGAAGCCAATCAGAGCCCAGATATTTTCCCACCCCTAAGAAAAGCAATGGCGTCAATGAGACTTGATCATATTGTTCGCGTGACCATCTGCACCCTCTAGCGGTTCGAATGTAAACTAGTGTCCCCTCTTGGAATAAGATTTTCTTTAATAAGGTAACCCACCTAGTGAATATTGACCATAACATTTATTTTAAAAACATATAGTTCTGCGAATGTGTACCCAGGCGGGTACAAACTGTACTTTTATTGCGCACAAAGGACAGGGGAAATAAAGACGAAAAGTATTGGATTTCTTTTCTCGGAACTGGAAGCTGGCAGGCACCACCAATAATATCTGCAAAACAAAAACCTGGTTAAAATTTTCATTAATAAAGTAGGATATTAGAAACCATATACATTATTAATTTACTAAGCCATCTACCGTGCGTTAACTTCATACATATTTCCGCATGCTTCTGTTTTAAGGTATCGTGAGATATTTGACTATTTATCTGGGAAAAGTTCATATGTCGAAAATATTATGTGTATGTGGCCGTGGTAGGCTTTCTTTGCTATTATAATTTTATTTTTATTATTTAATATTTACAAAATTAATTTATCTATCTTATTGATAATTTTGATTTTCTTTGCTATTTTATTATTTGTTTTTATTATTTAATATTTTCAAAATTAATTTATCTATCTTATTGATGATTTTAAGATATCGCAGTCAGCTTTACTATTTCATCAATTTCTTTTATTTATTGCTGATCTTTGAGGATAGTGTACATACTTTTTTTTTTCGTAACTTATCTGTATCTACCCTTTAATTTCCTATCAAGCCATAAAGCAAACTCGAAAGGCATCTTAACTAAAAAGTCATATACTTTAAAGCTGCTGCTACTACTACATGAAAGTGTGTTTCTATGGCAATTTCAACAACAATGAAATCTGGACGCTTATACTAAATACTGTAATACTCTTCTCTGCTAACGCTCTAGGAGACGCTATTTGAACCCTGTTCAAAGAAAAACTTCTACAGCCCAAATAACCTCTCTGAACCACACTTCAGCACATCACTCTTTCACTGTCTTGCAGCCTTTAGATTAATATTCCGTACTAACTACGAATGCCATACACGAAACGTTCTCTTTCTAATTTTTTTCTATGCGCTACATTAACGAACAGGATCTAAACTTTTCTGTCCGTGTATTTTGTTAGCCACCTTAAAAAAAATAAAAAAAAAGGTATGCGAACCTAGAGGATATTTTCCATATTTTTCACAAATGGTGACAACAATTAATGCAAGTATTATTTTTAATAATAATCCATCTTTCGCTATGACACGAAAACATCGATTTTTTAATTCTAACTTTTCTCATAGAGCTTCCCTTTAGTCTCTATCTGTTCTTTAACTAAATCCCCGCCTTTTTGAAAAACCAACCTCTAAAAATAGTTAATTTTCTCTAATTTAAATTTGTACGTTTTACGCAATATGTGTGAATATTTTTGCTAGAGCATTTAGTTACTTAGTACATGTCCTAATCAATATTTTAAAAATATGATTCTAATGATACGTGTTTACGATTTGAAGATAACGAAACATTCCCCAGTTTTATAAATGAGAGCTCACCGCCAAACTACCAAAGATCACAGTACAAGCTACCGTACTACGCCCCCCTGGACAAAATCAGGTTAGTCAGCGTCATTAATTCTACCTGCGTTAACGAATAGCGTATTTTTAATTAAGGTTTAATACGCAGAAAGTTTAGGTAACAAATAATTGCAATGAAACTCACTAACATCATAAATTATTAAAAAAAAATTAGAACAGTTGGAATTTACTGGAGTAACCAATTTGGCACTAAAAATGGAAATTTTCGATACTCTACTTGGTGCCTACAATAAATTTTACTATTATTTTTAATGCAGAGACACAACGATTTTCTAGTTCTGAATTTGATCAGGGGTATATGACCATAGTTTACGCCGACTCTAAAAGGCATGCAGTCTATTGTTTTTGAACGCCCCATTTTGTGTATTATGTTCAAAACAGAGACTCTCTGGGCTTACGACTACAGCTACCAGCTACTACTTTCAATAATATTAACACAAAAAAAGTAGGTGGCATTTCTATAATACGTGCAAAGTTTATGTGAAACTGACTGGAAGACAGAGTAATGCACCAATATGTTACTAAACATATTTCGATAGAATTCCGTAAGAGCTTACCTCCAAGTTTCCTCATTTAGTCAGTCAAAGCATCAAATGGGAAATTCCAATCCAACATATGTAGTGGTGGAAATATATCAATCGCCTACGTTACCGATGGTACCCGACTGAAGCTTCTGCGTCTTCTTTACCCCACATGCCTACTTAAAAAGATACTGGTCTAAGTCTCAATATTCCTGTTAAAAAAAAAGAGAGGTTCTATATTGCCATAAATATGTGTTTTCAAAATTTTACCTGAATGGTTCGTGATTCCTTATATATGCAGTGTTGGCAGCAATGTGGCGACGACTACGCTGAAACTTTGCATATCTCGTGTCCCCATGACTGGTCTGTTTCATATATCAAACCTCACCTCGCACGGGTTTGAACCTCCTTTAAAAAAAAAACAGGCAGACTTATACTTATCATATCAAAGTAATACGAGGAACTTATATTTTATGCCAAAACTTACTTCATCACCTCCAAAGGGGAGTAGGGGTTTCTAAAGTATGGTAGGTACATCTCTTTCATTTTTTAATTAAAAAAGTGACACAATTACGCGACGTAACTCGATCCGGATCGTTAACGCGTCTCAAGATGGGGGTTTAGAGATGCTGAGGTCATTAAATTGATTCACTAATACCAGTACACACTGAAACCCCTTATTTCCAAAATAAAAAATTGTTAACTGTTAACACAACAAAAAAACTATTTTCTCACCAATTATATTTCTGGGTCGTTTTCAGAATTTGTCCAACGTAGAATCCCAAGAGGATAGGGCCGCAATTTCGAAAAATGTTCATGTCTCCCCACTATGCATTTGTACAAGAAGCAGGGCCGGATTAACAGCAATTATATTCTTGTCAGTCAACATACAGCCGCCGATTGAATTCTCGGATTCTGCTTTACTAGTTGCCATGGTCTGTCAAATATGTTACTTAAAAATTGTATATTTTTTTTTACAAATAATATACCTTTCCTAAAATAATTCCGCCTTTGTCAAGTTGGACACGGGCACGTCTGTCCGCTTTGAAAAGCGCAGGCGTATGTATCTTCCAAAATGATCCAAGCAGGCTCGGATTGCCAGCAAATACACAACTCGCCGATTCAATTCTGAGATGTTGCTTCACGAGTTACCATGATCTGTCAAATATTTTAATTAAAAAAAAATCTATTATTTAGCAACAATATACCTTTTTAAAAATAATTTCGTTTTTTTTTCAAGTTCAACAGGACACGTGTGTTCGTTTCGAAAGGTTTCGTAGTCTGTAGCTCTGTCGAATTCTCCAAAATTCGTTAAACCTTCAGATATTTTCAAAATTTGTCCAACGCAGACTTCCACTCACGCAGTTTCGAAAACTTTCTGGTCTCCCCGCCATGCATATGTACACGAAGCCGTTCTGGACTATCAGCAAACAGCACATCCGTCATTTTTTCTTCTCGGATTCCGCTTGACGAGTTACATCGATCTGTCAAATATTTAATGTAAAACAATCTTATCTATTACTTTTACCCAATATTAAGTACCTATTCAAAATTAGTAGCGCCTTTTCGAGTTCGAAAGGTTTCGTAGCCTATAGCCCTGCCGAAATGGCATTGCATTTGTACACGAAGCAGGGTCGGATTGTAAGCAAACAGCACCCCCGGTCATTTTTCTTCTCGGATTCTGCTTCACGAGTTACCATGATCTGTGGAATATTTAGCGAAAAAAAAAATTATCTATTACTTTTACCAAAAATGAAGTACCTTTTTTCTTTAAAACAGTTCGTCCTTTTCGAGTTTGAAAGGTTTCGTAGCCTATAGCCCTGCCGAAATGTCATTGCATTTGTACACGAAGCAGGGTCGGATTGTCAGCAAACACCACAAGCGTCACTTTTCTTCTCGGTTTCTGCTTGACGAATTACATCGATCGGTCAAATATTTAATATAAAAAATATCTATTTTACCAAAAATACGTACTCTTCTAAGATAAATTAGCTCTTTTCGAGTTTAAGAGGACACGTATGTCAACTGTAGGATGTTTTATTATTATATTTTCCAGTGTCTATAAATTAATAAACAACAGAAGCTTCCGAATACAAAAATTTCAACATGAGTTTTTTTTTCTTGAAACTTAAAAGTTCTAACCCCTAAAACCATATTTTTAATACGCTGGCGGACGTATAACAATCCCCAAAAATTACCATATTTAAATTGTTACTATTGATATATTTCTATTCCGAACTTAACTCAATACATGCAAAAAAAAACTAGCGAATGTTATTTATTATCTCCGATGGGTGGATGATTGAGAAACGTTTAAATAAATCTACCTTTCTGTCTCTCTTTTTCTATATAGGTCACTCATTCTCTCTATCTGTTACTTTCCACAATCCGAATTTACACTTGGCCCCCCAAAAATCTTGTAAAATTTTATCTGCTTAACTTCTTCGCGTTGTTCATATGACTGAATTTTTTGGGAGATATATCGTGCGTTATTTCTATTAAAATTCTGTTTCCTTTTTACATACTTCAAAAACGTAAGCGAGCATTTTTGGTTGTTTTATTAAACAAAAATTGATACTAACCAAGATCCGTATCTCCGACCTCAGCCTCCTTTGATCACTCCCCAATTTTTTTTAATTAAGTATAGAAACCTCGTCGAACATATACATAATACTAGGTCAAAATGTTACGCGGTTACTCATTAAAGTTGCAATTCCGAAAGCTTCTTACCTATCTTTTTCCAGTCTTTTTTGTTTTATTTATCCGTATATGAAACACACATTGAACACAAAACTTAAACTCGTTGGCGATATTGCATTAAGCAACAAACGCGTATAACAGAAACGAACCCTTAACACAAACGCTTCTTTAAACTTCGACTGACACGTGAAACAACCCGCATTCCTACGAAAGGCAGGTAAACCAAGCAGGTCAAATTTTAAGCTACCCTCCAGTGTCGTCGTAGGTTGGGGCATAGTAAATAGCGAATACAACAAAGCGGTAATTTATAATAATTTAATTTGCATTTTATTTAACTTAAGTTGTTTTGTAGAAAATGAGACATTTCTACAATTAATCAATATACTACGAGTACTTTTCCGCTTAATTACTATTTTTGAGAAACAAAAGGAAACGTTAGATTCCATTCAAACTTTTTCGGTTTTCATGATATCTCGCGTTTATTTAGAAGCTAATGGCCTGTGGCCTTAACCAGACGTTTCCAAAGCCTGGTTTGATATTATGTATATAAATCTTAACAAACACGAAAAATAGAGTTATATTGCCACCGAAAATCTGAATTTATGTTTAAAAATGTAACTTCCCGTATTTAAACTATTGCCTGCATTGGCGCCTATATTTTATAGTTTTTTTTTGTATCCTATTTTTTTTGTTTTGCTTGCAAATGTGTGTCCATTTTTCGGGTACTGAATTTTTTTTTCTCAAATTATTACAAATTACTCAAAACGGAGTTAAAAAGAGACGAGGAGAAAAGGGAAGAACCCTTATTTCTCCGACACTGACCTCCGATGTTTATAAAAATTGACGCCTTGACACCCTCCCCGTGAATATTTTACAAAGGATTTTTAAAATTTAACTTCCAAATAACGCATACTCTCGCCTAGTGTCACAGTTTTGGGCCCCATTTTGCTATGGTTAGACAGGTTTATTCTTGTACATTGTCGGGACAAAAGAAGCATCTCCTTCATCCAAATTGACTTTTTCATACCTAATATAACAGCTGCCGGGCATCATCTCGCCTTAATTGTTTCTATTGAATTAATTTTAGTTACAAAAAATTAGATGATCGTCAAAATTGGCATAAAAAGATAATCAAGATTTAATTAAAACAAGAATATGCACAAAAGAAAAGAGATAAATGGCGCATTATTTGATACGTACTTTTTTCTTGTCAGAGCTTGTCTAAAAAAAATCGGGATGGATGGAGGTTCTCCGTCAGGTTTTTTCCCTGTCGAAACAAGTATGTGCGGCGTTCGCTTTGGATCTGGGGAATGGGTGGGGTTATACATATATAAGCTATAAGAAATTTTAATTTTTTATTCAGTTTCCACTCATACAATTTCGTGATAAGTGCAGAGTGAGAAAAATGTCCGAAGTCGAAAATTATCCAACGCAAGCATTGGATTCGTGGGGAAGATTTGTGGTCAATGCGGAAATAATCCGCGAACAAAAATACATTTACGAGGCAGCAATTACGCTGCCGGAATTCGGACTAGAAATTACCTCCGGTCTTAGCCCAGCAAGAATCTTCACTCCTGCAGTGAAAGTGAGCTTTATCCCCTACGTTTTGGCGGAGAAAAGAAGCATTTCGTTCGACGAGATAGACTTCACAGAATTAATACAACAGCTTCCATTGTTATTGTTAGCAGGCCCGACTGGTAAAGTTATGTATTTAACCTGCTTCAAACTCAGCTCTCTACAATGTGATGGTGAAGTCTTGGTCAAGATTGAAAATAGCGAGGGTATACTCTATATTTCGAAAGACTGGGTACAGGAATTAATTACCATAAGCAAATTGGTATTTAAAAGAATACGAGTACTGTCTCGTTTGAACTTTTACGAGTACTACGATAGAATATTGTATTTGACTATACATGAAAATTTACTGGAAGACGCCAAAATCTTTCCGCATATAGAATATTTATGTTCTACAGAAGAGAGTGAGCAGAGCTACTGCATGGAGGACTACATGCGTTTTGGAAAAATGCAGATAAAACAAGATATCAACAAAAGGATAGCATGGGACATACCTGTGTTTTAATAGAAATTTACCTGTAAACTAATAATAATAAATGTATTTTTAAAATTCAGTGTGTGTGTATGTTTTATCCTTACCCCCATAAAAAAAAGTAAAAAAAAAACAAGTAATTGCGTAAAATAACTTCATTAAAGAAAAAAAAAATAACAACAAAATATAACCAAACAAAACATAGTACCACCGGAATGAAACCATCAGAAATTACCCCAACAACGGAGATTCTCGCATATAATTTACCAAAAAAAATTTGCAGTGCAAGAGTCAAAGTTCAAAGCTGGCGATGCAGTGAGCATAAGTGGCACAAAATCGGTTTTTGACAAAAGCTATGAAATTAATTGGACACCCCGAAAATTTCAAGATTGTTAAAGTAAGTGGTTCCTTCCCTCTTACGTATATTTTGGAAGATATGGAGGGGCGTTAAATCAAAGCTTCGTTTTATGAAGTCGAATTACAAAAACCGTACTACCAAATAGTCGATCGACTACTCGTAAAAGTTCAAACGAGACAGTACTCGTATTCTTTTAAATACCAATTTGCTTATGGTAATTAATTCCTGTACCCAGTCTTTCGAAATATAGAGTATACCCTCGCTATTTTCAATCTTGACCAAGACTTCACCATCACATTGTAGAGAGCTGAGTTTGAAGCAGGTTAAATACATAACTTTACCAGTCGGGCCTGCTAACAATAACAATGGAAGCTGTTGTATTAATTCTGTGAAGTCTATCTCGTCGAACGAAATGCTTCTTTTCTCCGCCAAAACGTAGGGGATAAAGCTCACTTTCACTGCAGGAGTGAAGATTCTTGCTGGGCTAAGACCGGAGGTAATTTCTAGTCCGAATTCCGGCAGCGTAATTGCTGCCTCGTAAATGTATTTTTGTTCGCGGATTATTTCCGCATTGACCACAAATCTTCCCCACGAATCCAATGCTTGCGTTGGATAATTTTCGACTTCGGACATTTTTCTCACTCTGCACTTATCACGAAATTGTATGAGTGGAAACTGAATAAAAAATTAAAATTTCTTATAGCTTATATATGTATAACCCCACCCATTCCCCAGATCCAAAGCGAACGCCGCACATACTTGTTTCGACAGGGAAAAAACCTGACGGAGAACCTCCATCCATCCCGATTTTTTTTAGACAAGCTCTGACAAGAAAAAAGTACGTATCAAATAATGCGCCATTTATCTCTTTTCTTTTGTGCATATTCTTGTTTTAATTAAATCTTGATTATCTTTTTATGCCAATTTTGACGATCATCTAATTTTTTGTAACTAAAATTAATTCAATAGAAACAAT